TGGATAAGATTATGTGTATATACGAGGATACCCAAGAATGCTTGGTGGATTCTAAACATATGGATAAGACAGTGTGTAGACGTGGATACTATAGGAGTTCATTTAAGCGTGTACATGATTACATTGACCATTAAACGTGTCCAAGCATCGATAATAGACATATAGAGACAAACTGGAAGACAAGTGGATAGTAGACATATTGATAGACCAACTACGTAGTATCCATGTAGACTATGTAACACTATTTATTATCCACGTGTACACACTTCAGTGACGTTGGTGTACCCCAGTAGACCAACTGCCTAGTATCCACGTGTACACACTTGTATCCATAAGGCCGGTATCCACGTGTACACACATTTGTATCCATATGGCTGTCGAACCCTAAACATTAAACACAGATAGATAAAGAGGTGTGTACACGTGGATACTGGAGATAAGGATACAATATGTGTCTGCATGCTTAAGTGTACGTGAAGATGTCTTTGAGTATCCACATGAGGACACTTCCAGTATCCATGTGAATACCGTGGCATCGTCATGTGGTTAATTTCTCACTGAAATAGTATCAACGTGTGTGAATACCTCCGTGTATTCCATACACATTTTCAAACTATGAATACAAAGTTCAAACATAGGACGTAACCATGTACCCATTAGCGTACACGTGGATATTCGACGTATGGACACACATTAGCGTACACGTGGACACAAGCTGGTTCAGTGTATCTGGCATTCTTATATATCATCTGCATTGACATATTCCAGATGCAGTGTGTATTGTGCGCTCATTTATACATAAGTGTGGAGACTCTCAAAAAATCGATGTTATGTGTATATACGAGGCTACCCAAGAATGTTTCGTGGATACTAAACATACGGATAAGACAGTGTGTACACGTGAATACGAGATAAATGAAGCAGTTAGTCCATGTACTAAAGGAGTCCATTTAAGCGTGTACATGATTACATTGTCCATTAAACTTGTGCAAGCATCGGTAATAGACATATAGATACGAACTGGAAGACAAGTGGATACTAGACATATTGATAGACCAACTACCTAGTATCCATGTAGATCAGGTAACAATATTTATTATCCACGTGTACACACTTTAGTGACCTTGGTGTACCTCATAGACCAACTGGCTAATATCCACGTGTACACACTTGTATCCATATGGCTAGTATCCACGTGCTCACACACTTGTATCCATATGTCTGCTGGACCCTAAACCCTAAACACAGATGGATAAAGAGGTGTGTACACGTGTACTGAGTATTAGGGATTGTGTAGAAGCCCTTGACAATTGTAGTGAACACTCTCGACGGTAGTGTACGAGGATACCCAAGAATGTTTGGTGGATACTAAACATATGGATAAGACAGTGTGTACACGTGGATAGGAGATAAATAAAGCACTTAGTCCATGCACTAAAGGAGTTCATTTAAGCGTGTACATGATTACATTGTNCAATGTTTATTATCCACGTGTACACACTTTAGTGACCTTGGCGTACCCCATAGACCAACTGCCTAATATCCACGTGTACACACTTGTATCGATATGGCCAGTATCCACGTGTACACACATTTGTATCCATATGTCAGCTGGACCCTAAACCCTAAACACAGATGGATAAAGAGGTGTGTACACGTGGACTGAGTATCTCGTATTCACGTGTACACACTGTCTTATCCATATGTTTAGTATCCACGAAACATTCTTGGGTAGCCTCCTATATACACATAACATCGATTTATTGAGAGTGTACACACGGTCTTATCCATATGGCTAGTATCCACGTGCTCACACACTTGTATCCATATGTCTGCTGGACCCTAAACCCTAAACACAGATGGATAAAGAGGTGTGTACACGTGCACTGAGTATTAGGGATTGTGTAGAAGCCCTTGACAATTGTAGTGAACACTCTCGACGGTAGTGTACGAGGATACCCAAGAATGTTTGGTGGATACTAAACATATGGATAAGACAGTGTGTACACGTGGATAGGAGATAAATAAAGCACTTAGTCCATGCACTAAAGGAGTTCATTTAAGCGTGTACATGATTACATTGTCCATTAAGCTTGTGGACGCATCGATAATAGACATATAGATACGAACTGGAAGACAAGTGGATAGTAGACATAATTATAGACCAACTACCTAGTATCCATGTAGATCAGGTAACAATGTTTATTATCCACGTGTACACACTTTAGTGACCTTGGCGTACCCCATAGACCAACTGCCTAATATCCACGTGTACACACTTGTATCGATATGGCCAGTATCCACGTGTACACACATTTGTATCCATATGTCAGCTGGACCCTAAACCCTAAACACAGATGGATAAAGAGGTGTGTACACGTGGACTGAGTATCTC